GGAACCACACAACCCCGTGGCTGGTCCTCCCCATGTCTCACTGGGACTGGAGGGCTTGGGAGCAATGGCACATGTGTCCCAGCTCCTCTCGCCTGGCCAGGGCAGGAAGAGGGGACAGTGTGTGGGCTGCTCTCCGAGGGCAAGGGCTCCCAAGTCCAAGTGACCTGGCTGGGCATGGGGCCAGCAAGGCAGCCCCAGCCAGACTGGGACACTGGTGTCCCCAGATGCCACATAACGGTGGCAGGAAAGGCTGTGATGACCCGAGGAGCTGTCAGCAATGCTCTAACACTCACCTCCTGGTGCCCCTCACTGTATGGGAGGACTAGGTCTCTCCTCCAAGAAGACAGGGTCTGCCCCAGCCAAGGTATCTCCATGCACTCCGTTTGCTGCCACCTTAGTGTCCTCCTGGCTGGCACTGCCCCGTCCTGTCCACTCCAGCTTTTTGTCTTTGCTGGAAAGGAGAGGAGCAGGGATGAAGAGCCCAAGGGGGAGGAACGTCAGGACAGTGCCAGTAAGGGGATGTCATTGCACATCCCTGTTTGCATTGGCCAAAGAGGTTCCAGGAGGGGCTGAGTCTTGCTGGAGGTCCCCTGGGGTGCAGCTGTGGGGTGATGGAGAGTGGGGTGGCATTCTCCGGAGGAGCTGGCTGTGCTGTGCCCTGCACACCTTCCCATGGCAGTTTTGGAGCTGTAAACCTCAGGACCAGGGTGCTGGGGGTCACCCTGGGCTCCTCACCCCAAACTGTGCTGCCTGGGGCATTCCCACAGGCAGCTGGGTGAGTCAGCAGGGCTGGGATGGATGCGGGCAAAGGTGTGCCAGCGTGTCCTCACCTCCTCCCGGGTGGCTGTGTTGTGCCTGCAGTGTCTCCTAGGCAATGGAGGAGTTAACCAGCCACACCAGGGGAGGATGAGCCCATTGGGGACACCCCTCCTTCGTGGGTGGGGGTGTGCCATGACGCTGGTGGGTGCGCCCTGACCTGGGCTTTCCCAGCCACCGTTTAAATCCCGTGTATCACCCTCTTGACTGCCACCTGCCAAAGAGCCTGAGTCCCTGGTGCCTGGTGTGCCCTGGTAGGCAGGGGAGCTGCAGAGCCATGCTGGAGGACAGGAGGAAGGAGGAGATAGAGGCTGGGGTAAGACTGCTCCTCATATGGCAAACCTCAGCTCCTGGCATGGGCTGGGGCACATGTGGAAAGGAGAGTCTCAGGAGCTGGGATTTCTAGTCCTGGTGGCAACAGGGAGAGCTCAGGGGGACAATGGGATCAAGTGTGGAGATGACTCCGTTGCTGTCAGTGAGCTGGGAGTGTGGTCTGCTCAGACTGCCAAGGGGCATGGGGAATCCATGGGCTGGGAGACCTGCTGTAACATCCTCCACCCAGGGACTTGGTGTCCCTTCTCCAGCAGCTGGGAATCAAACCTTTACAAAGCCAACGCAATTTTTCGGCATACCGAGGGCTGTTGCAGAGCCTCTCAGTGTCCCTGGATGGGCAACAAGCCTCACGTTGACTTGTTGACAACGAGAGGGACCTTTGCACTGCTCGTTGAACCAATCTGACCATGCTTCATCCCCTTCCCATTCCCAGGACTTGGAGCAGCCGCTGAATGAGGATGCCAACCTGCTGCCTCAGCTGCAGCAGCTGGAGAACACGCTGAGTGGCTGTGCCAAGGAGGCCAGCAAGGACCAGGTCTTCGTTCGCATGGGCTACATGGCCTCTGAGCTCAAGCGCCTGGCCTCCAAGGTGCACAAGAATGAGCAGAGAACATCGTTCCTGCAGGTGGGTGAGGGCTGGCCAGGCTCTTCATGGGGTTTTTGCCCCCTTCTTTTTCTTTCTTTTTGTTTTTTTTCCCCACCAAACCTATCCTGTCCACCCTGAGGTGGCCACCCACCTCTGCGACAGGACAAGGTGGGTGGCCAAGGAGGCTCCTGGGGCTGGCAGAGGTCCTCATGCTGCTGGTGTTTGCTCCCCAGACGTTGTGTGAGACACTGCACAGTGAGAACAAGGAGCTGCGAACCAAGCTGGAGAGGGACCTGGAGCAGAGAAACCAGGCGCTGGAGAAGCTCAGGTGAGTGTGGCCAGCGAGGAGGGAGACAGGGCTTCCCTGGGAGCTTCTTCCCACTGACCTGTCCCTCCCTGCCCACAGGTGTGAGAACCAGGAGCTCCGGAGGATGGTGACACTGAGCAACCAGGACAGCGGGAAGAGGGAAGCTGCTGAGCAGCAGCAGGTGAGGAAACAGCATCGCCCTCAGAGAGGGCTGGGAAGGAGGCAGGGAGCCCGCTGACACATCAGCAAAGGTGGCCTCATTTTAATCGGGGCCCCCAGTGTGTCCCAGTGTGACCGGCAGGACTTCTCGGGGTCTCAAGGGGATGGGGGAGGCCGTGGGAAGGGGAACTGGCTTGTGTTTAGCCGGCCTCGGGCACAGCCTCCACAAAAGCCCTGAGGGTCCCCCCCGTGCGCGTCCAGCAGAGCGGGGCTGCGGTGGAGAAGGCACCGGGCAGAGGAGAGCTGGAGGCCAAGGAGAAGAAGGTGAAGATCCTGGAGCACCAGCGCAGGGAGGTGAGGACCAGGCTGGGAGGGAGGCGCTGCCAGGAGCAGGGTGGGAGTTGGGTGGTGGGGAGCTGGGATGGCATGGAGAGACCGGGACAGGGCTGTGGAGTCACGGGGAAGTGCTGCTGGAGCCGGGATCTCCATCCAGCTGATCCCTGAGGTGCTTTCACAATGGGAAGCTGCTGGGGAACCGCCATGGCTGGCTTGGGACAGGGATTGAGCTCCCATTCAGCCATCCCTCTCTCCCCGCAGCTGCTGGAGGTCAATAAGCAGTGGGATCAGCACTTCCGAGCCACGAAGCAGAAGTATGAGCAGAAGGTAAGGCTGGGTGCTCAGGGAACACGTATCTGCTGGGTGCTGGCTGGGAGACTGGCTCTGGGGGAAGGTTTTGGGGCTGCCTGTGCTTCCTTTCCCCGTGGTGTGGATCCTTCCAGGCAAGCCAACATCCTTGTTCCCTCCCGGCAGGTTACGGACCTGCACCAGGAGCTGGCTGAGGCCAGAAGGGCATTGACTGAGATGGAGTCAGAGCGGGAGCAAAAGCAACGGGATTTTGACCGCAAGCTGCTGCTGGCCAAGTCCCGGATTGAAACGGAGGAGGCAAGTCCCATGGGAAGGGTGACGGGGAGCTGGGGAGTTGCTGGCCCCGTCACCCAGCCCTGGCTGATTTCCCCCCTCCCTGGGTGCTGCAGGCAGAGAAGGAGAGGCTGGCCATGGAGGTGAGGGACCTGCAGCAGAGGATGCGGTTCCTGCAGGAGCAGCTGGCTCCCGTCACCAGGCAGCGGGAGTACCAGGAGAAGGAGATCCAGAGGCTGAACAAGGTGGGCGCCAGGACACAACCGCTCCCTGCAAAACATCTCTTATGCTCTCCAGCCTCTTCTCCTCTCTCAAATCCAAAACTGACCCTGATCAACCCCCTCCTGCCCAGCTCTTTGCCCGGGTGGGAGTTTCTGTCAGGTGATGCCCACCACATCTCCTTAGGCTTCCAGGAAAGGAGGATGGGGTCTCTGTGATGCCTCTTGCCCAGTTATACCTGTTTCCCATGCTAGGCATGTGCCCGTGGCCCTCTGGAGATGTCATCGGCACAGCAGCTTGTTCTGACCCTCCCTCCCTTCTCCCCTTCTTCCTCTCCAGGCTCTAGAGGAGGCCCTGAATGTCCAGGCCTCCCCACCACCCATCTTTGCCAGCACCATGGAGCCAGCTGGGAAGATGCCGCAGCAGGAGCTGCTGACTCAGAATGAGCTCCTCAAGCAGCAGGTAGGGCAAGATGGTGCAGCTCCTTCTCCTGTAGGAGGTGGGGAGGGAGCTATGTGCCCTGAGACCCCCCCAACAAAGGGTCCAGCCTAGTCAGAAGCAGCCCTAGCTGGGTGTCTGTGCTGCAGTGGTGGGGAGGGGGGGGACTGAGCTCAGCATCTACCAGGCCTTCAGCTGGAGCGACCACAGCCATGGCCATCATGCCAACCTTCCTGCCTGGAGCTTGATGTAGCTGCTGGGGTCAGGGAAGGAAATTGTAGTGATGGGGATTGTCTGGGGGAGGTGTCCACTCTTGGCCAAGTGCACCCATACCCTTCCTTCTTGCAGGTGAAAATTTTCGAGGAGGACTTCCAGCGGGAGCGGAGTGACAGGGAGAGGATGAATGAGGAGAAGGAAGAGCTGAAGCAGCAGCTGGAGAAGTTGCAGAAGCAGTTGGTCCTCTCCAACAACCAGGTGAGCAGTGCTGGGCACCACGGGCAGCAGCTTGGGAGCGCTGTGTCCCCCCCAGGTACATCAGAGGTGCCTGTCCCCAGTGTCATGCCCCCTGTACCCATCTTTGAGCAGGGACAGAAGGGTGGAGTGGTGGTTTTGCTTGTCATCTCCTTTCATTTTCTCTTGTCATCATCTTTCATTTTCTCTTGTCATCTCCTTTCATTTTTGCTTCTTCCTGCCCCTCTCCTGGGAGTTTGACACAGGGAGGACATACGGATGTGGGCATTCCCGTGGGGCATCGCAGCATCGGGGGTGGCAGGGTGGGCACTGCACTAACCCCCTCTTGCTTCCAGCTGCGGGCCTCCAAGGATGACTGCCAGAGGGAGAAGGAGGAGAAGGAGAAGCTGAAGAAGCTGCTGAAACAGCACAAACAGGTAGGGATGGGGGAAAAAACTACTTCCCAGTCTCCTGTTGAGGGGCAACTCTGAGCCGGGCAATGGGGGTATGGGTGGTGGGCAATGGGGGTGTGGGTGGTGGGCTCTCCCCAGCATCTCCCTGGCTCCTTGCAGGCTTCTGGAGAGAGGCTGCACGCTGAGCCGCTGCCAGGGCCACTGGGCCCTACCTGCCCCATGTACCCTCCGTACCAGTACAGTCCCCCTGTGGCTCACCCCATGTACCACGGCTTCGACGAGTGGCAGCAGATCCGATACCCACCAGCGATGCCGGGCGAGCACACACCGGGACAGAACTTCCACCATTTTTCCCCGGTGAGTGTCTACCCGTGTTACACAAGGCTCCCATGTAAGCATGCCCAGGGCTCACTACCAAGAGAGTGGCTCCTCCAGGGCCACCAAGTCACCAAAGCAGGGAGCTGAGCACGCGTGTCCTGTTGTCACATGAACGCTCAGCCCTCTTCTTCCCTCTCCTCCTCCTCCTCCCATGCTGGAAATTGAATAAGGAGCGTGGCTTTGTGGTTCCCATCCCGTAAATCGCTGTTTCTGTTCCCTCTCCTCCTGCAGCCCGAGTACCCCTGGCGCCCACCCTGTGCCATGGCTCGCAGCCAGAACGCCCAGGCAGTGTCTGGGGTGAAACCGGTCCCCAAGGACTTGGGTAAGGCTCAGACCCTTGGTGAGGGGAGGTCCCCTCTCCATCACCACATTGTGGGGGAGGGATGATGGGGTACTTTGCCAGGCAGTGACCATTTCCCTTCAGCCCCAACCTCTGATCAGACGAGGGGACAATTTTGCTCTGGGATTGGTCCCTACTGCATCCTCCCTGCAAGGATTTGAAGACAGGCATGAGCCCCAGCATCTCATGGGCAATCGGTGCTCAGGGGAAATGGCCACCCCATGGCTGGCATCCCTCCCGCGGGGCTCACCTGGGCACGAAGAGCCCTGCTCACCCCATGCCACCCTTCTTGTGTCTCAGAACAGGCAGGGCCCGGATTGCCCTAACGCCAAGGACCGGCTGAGCAGCGATACCGGTGGCAGAGGAGTAGGGTGTGTGTGTGTGCCCGTGTGTATATATCTAGGAGCTTCCTCCAGCTGCCTCCCCCGGTGCGTGGACGTGTGGTGGTGGACATGGCTGCACCCACGGCCAGGAACGGCTCAGCAGTGCATCCCCCCGCCGGGAAAGGTGCAAAGGGAAGGACCTGAGGTGCCATCAAGGTGGTGGCCAGCACAGGGTCACCCCCCCCCGCGCCATCCCCTTCCCCGTGAGGCGTCAGGCCTGGTGTCGCTGTCAACCCGAGCCAGGTCTTCAGGGAAGAGGAGACGGCGTTTCCCAGGAGCTGCCCCAGTCCAGGGGGCTTCGCTGTGGGGTCTCGGGGCGGTTCAGCCCCTGGAGCAGCGGGTGCCAGCGAGGGGGGAGACTCTCCCAGGGGTGGGAGACCCCACGCTTGCAGGCGGGTGGGTGCCTGCCGCAGCCCGGGCGGAGGGTGGTTGATGTCTTTGTATTTATTGAAGGACTGAAGTGTAGCCGAGTCTCTCTCCTTTTATCCTGAAAGCGGCTTCCTCTGGGGGAGGGATGCCAGGGCCACCGGTCCCCACGTGCTCAGGTGCATGCCATGGGGGCTAGAGTGAGAAATGGGGAACCCAACCCCTGTGTGGGCACCCCAGGATCTATTGCCCTAAGTGATGCCCCCCACTTCCCTCTGGGCGCTGGGCTCAGCCCCTCGCCCTCCTCTCTCCTGCCCCACCACCCCACTGCCTTTGCTGGGGCAGGGAAACCTCTGCTCCTGCTCCTCCCTCAGCCTTTTCCTGCAGGAAGGGCCTCGGGGCCGGCCTCCCAAATGCACAGAGCCAATCTTGCTCCAGGAAAACAAGTCTGGAAGGGAGGGGAAAAAAACCACCCAACACAAAAACCACAAATCAACCCTATTTCTGTAAGCGTGGCTGTCGCATGACAGCAGGAGGAATAATGACTGGTCCCTGCTCCCAGCCTCTTTTTTCCACACCCCCTGCCCCCGTGCTCTGCACTGACACATACACATTCACCATCTCCCTCAATGCTGGGTTGTAGTGGTAAATCCACATTTGCAGTTGCCCTGAAGAAAAAATGTGAGTTTTTCTCTAGCTGGGAGCCATCCCACCCCACTGGTACCCCCAGGCACCCTCTGGGGCACCTGGGGGGCACCCTCTACTCCAGGCTGGTCTCTGTGCCCCCCAACTCTTTCCCCCCACCCTGGCCAAGAAGTGGGGCTGTGTGTTTTGCAGAGCCTTTATTTGGTGTTTCTATGTTGGGGGGGTGAGGGGCTGGCCATCCCCGGCCGGGAGAGGAGCACGTCTCTGCTCTGGGACCACAGGCAGCTTGAATGCACTGAAGAGCTGCTCCGTGTCTGGCAGGATCAGGCCAGGCCCGCCCCACACCAGGGGCTTTCGGGCCAAGCCTTCATGGAGACGTGGTCTTCTGCACCGGGGGCGACCAGCCCCGTCATCCCCCCCACTGCCCAGGATGGCAGAGCAGGGGGCACTAAAGGGGGCAAGCTGGTGGTCAGGAGGAGATGTGGTCAGGGTGGAAGTGGGACATGGAGTTATTGGGAAACATTCCCCTCCCATCACTGAGGTCTCTGCCACCACGTTGCCCAGCATCCCAGCTGGGGGTGGCAGGGACAGGAGCGATGGAGGGGACAAGGTGCTGGCTCAGGGTTTGACTCCTGCTGCTGGGGAGCATCCTGGGAGGGGAAAGATGGGGAGCAGCCCTGCAACAGCGAGGGGGGGGGCCGGGGGCAAGCTGGTGGTCAGGAGATGTGGTCAGGGTGGAAGTGGGACATAGGGGGCAAGCTGGTGGTCAGGAGGAGATGTGGTCAGGGTGGAAGTGGGACATGGAGTTATTGGGAAACATTCCCCTCCCATCACTGAGGTCTCTGCCACCACGTTGCCCAGCATCCCAGCTGGGGGTGGCAGGGACAGGAGCGATGGAGGGGACAAGGTGCTGGCTCAGGGTTTGACTCCTGCTGCTGGGGAGCATCCTGGGAGGGGAAAGATGGGGAGCAGCCCTGCAACAGCGAGGGGGGGGGCCAGCTTAGGGGGGGACCACCCCCTAAGCCAGCATCCCCCGCCTCTACTGGCCCTGCTGCTCCCTCATGTAGGTGATGATGTCGTTCTTCACGACGGCGATGTTGGCACGGTGGTACCAGCGCATGACAGGCACGCCGTCAGGGCCCACCAGGAACTTCTCAAAGTTCCACTTGATGTCGTGGTTCCGCAGGGGCTCCCAGAAGAGGTTCTTGGGGTTCCCAAACTCCTCCGCCACTGGGGGACAAGCGTTCTGCAACGGGGGAGCCAACACATCAATGCCTTGCCCCCCACAAAAAAACCAAGCTGGGCACTGTCCCCCCACACCTCCTGCTACCACGGCACCTACCTTCAGGAAGGTGTAGACCTTCTGCTCCTTGGCCCCATTCACATCTCCTTTCTGGAAGAGCTGGAAGTTGGGGACAAAGCCACCCCCTGGCCGGACGTACCTGCAAGCAGAGGGTGGGCAACACCATGCAACAGGTAGCTCTTTGTGCTGCATGGGGGCACCAGGGGACCCCCCGACACCCCATGTTTTTGGGGGCTACAGCCAGTAGGAGCCTACACACCCACCACCTTGCTGGGGACCCCAGCCCGACCTGGGGGTCTAAGTGCTCCGCAGCCCCCACCGCAGTACTCACTTCAGCGCGGGGAGGATCTCCGAGTTCTGGCCGGGTTCCTGCTTCCCAAATTGGTTGGAGGGGAAGCCCAGGACAACGAGCCCGTAGGGACCCAGCTCATTTTGTAGTGCATTCAGTTCTGCAGGCAGGCAGTTGATGTCGTGGTTCCGCAGGGGCTCCCAGAAGAGGTTCTTGGGGTTCCCAAACTCCTCCGCCACTGGGGGACAAGCGTTCTGCAACGGGGGAGCCAGCACATCACTGTCTTGCCCCCCAACAACAAAACCAAGCCAGGCACTATCCCCCCACACCTCCTGCTACCACGGCACCTACCTTCAGGAAGGTGTAGACCTTCTGCTCCTTGGCCCCATTCACATCTCCTTTCTGGAAGAGCTGGAAGTTGGGGACAAAGCCACCCCCTGGCCGGACGTACCTGCAAGCAGAGGGTGGGCAACACCATGCAACAGGTAGCTCTTTGTGCTGCATGGGGGCACCAGGGGACCCCCCAACACCCCATGTTTTTGGGGGCTACAGCCAGTAGGAGCCTACACACCCACCACCTTGCTGGGGACCCCAGCCCGACCTGGGGGTCTAAGTGCTCCGCAGCCCCCACCGCAGTACTCACTTCAGCGCGGGGAGGATCTCCGAGTTCTGGCCGGGTTCCTGCTTCCCAAATTGGTTGGAGGGGAAGCCCAGGACAACAAGCCCATAGGGACCCAGCTCATTTTGTAGTGCATTCAGTTCTGCAGGCAGGCAAAGCCAGGGGTGGGTTAGCAGGGGACCGGGCTTGTCCCAGACCCACCCTGACCCCCTTGGAGCATCCCTGGCCATGCCAGGTCCTGGGGAGCAGGTGTTACCCCTTCCTTCCCTCCTTCCCCCAGCTTCCCGGGGCAGGAAGGACCATGGGGACCTGCCAAGGGCTGCACACCTGGGTGACACTGCCTGCCCTGTCCCCTGGGGTGACCCTTACCAAGGTACTGCAGGGTGAGGCCTCAGTAGGTGGCCACGTTGACGAAGAGGACCATCTTCCCCGCGTACTTCCTAAAGGGCACGTACTCGTCCCCATCGATGGTCAGGGCCCCGTAGTCGTAGATGGTGCCCTGCACTGAGCCGTAGCATTTCACCTGTGGGGTGAGGAGCATCCCGTGGCACCAGGTTGGGGGGTTTGCCAGCCGCCCCCACGGCCACCCACGCCAACCCGAGCAGCAGGTTCAGCCCTGGCGCCGGCTGAGATGGCAGCTGCCAGCTTTGTGTCTCCTGGCCCAAATGCTGCTGGCAGCAGCCAGGCTCCGGCATGCCAAGGTCGCCCTGGTGGCTTGTGGCATGCACATACGTGTGCACACATGTGCACGCCCGGCCAGCGGGGCTGGCTGCAGCTGGAGGGATGTTTACCCGGCCAGGGTCGGGCAGGAAGGCGAGAGGCTGGAAAAACAGCCCGAGCTGGTGTGGGGACACCATCCCCAGCCTCCCCGGGGGCTGCTGGCAGGCAGGACACCCCCCTCCACACCTGCACCCACACCTCCGGGACAGGGGGCAGCCGCTGTGCCATGGCCAAGGAGGGATCAGGGCTGGATCAGATCCCTGCCGGGAAGGGCCAGGGTGGAGCAGGCTCTGCCTGCGGGCACTGCAGGGGTTAACCCAATCTCCTGTTGGCATGGGGGGACCCAAGTGCCACCGAGGGGGCTATTTTGGGAGCTGGCAGGAGATAAAAGTCACAGGGGGTCTGGCCTGGGGAGCTCAGTCTCTGTGGGGCCGGCAGGATCCCGGTGGCAGGGCTGTGCTTCACCCACCCCGGGGGGGGAGACTGCCCGGGGGTGACAGTCACCCCTGCTCTCGGACATGGGGACACAGTAGCCCCCCACCCCGCACCCTCCAAACATGGGTATACCCCCCTGGACACTGTGCCTGGAACAAAACCCCCGTGTTCTGCCCCTATGGGGGTCACTGAGGGGGACAACAAGGCTCTGCCCCCCTCTGTCCCCAACCCCAGGACAGCCAACCCCCCCGTGGCAAATACTCAACAAA